CCCCAAAACCCCAAAACCCCAAAACCCCAGAAGTAAGAATAGAGGGAAAATAAAAGAGAAGATAAGCAGTATGTAAAATAATCTCAGAATTCTCGCAAAGTTGAAGTAGGCTTATTACGTATATAAATAACTCTTATCAATAATATTAGTAATTTTAACTCTATAATCATCTAAAATGATATTATCTAACAAGCCTTTAATACAATTCATATCACAGGATCTCTCCTCATTGACTAAGCACCTTAAAGCTTCTACTAGCAAAAATAGCGATGTCAAATTTTTTGCAAAGAGGAAGCAGAGGGATTCTTAAAACTCCATTCCTATTTCTAATGGAACTATCAAGGAAGCTATGACTGATTGCAATAGCCCCTTAGCATTTAGTAGTAATAAACCAAGAAGAAACAATGCATCCAATAACTAGAATTTTAAAAATTCCAACCAGGATATCGATAAAAACTCTACTAACTAACTCCCTCAGATTCAAAACCAAAATAGGTATAGTTCTCAAAGAAAATCAAAATTAGTATTTCAAGATAATAAATTTGATCTAAAAGGCCATAGCAATGAAATGCTAGGAGCGCAGCCAAAATCTAGAACTTCTGATTACGAAGAATAGGTCCAAATCATTAAGAGAAAAATGCTAAACTAATCAAAAAAATCAAGCTTTTAGACTTCAAAGCACCAAAGTCCCCTAACTTTGGAAAAGGTTGTAATAAAATTATTGGGATATGACTAATAATAATGGAATCTAAGATGCTCCGATCAGTCACTTGATGCCGGATATTCGAATATGAATATATTAGAGAATAACTCAAAAACATCTGAACACAAATCCCCAATTAAGATCAAATGTATTTTGACTGGCCACAATATTAGAGAAGAACATAGAGCAAGGATGATCGACTGGCTGATTCAAGTTTTTCGTGTATTCAAAATATGTGCACCCCAAACATTCTTCTTAACAATAAATATAATGGACAGATATTTTAAATAAAAGTCTGAAAGGAACGAAATACTTGACAAGCAAGAGCTGCATGAAATTGGTTTGGTTGCTATCCTTCTTGCTACAAAATTTGAGGATGTGATACCCATTCATATGAATTAGATTTTGAGAGATGCGGGGCACAATAAATTTAAACAATCAGACATATTAAATAGAGAAATTGATGTACTTCTAACATTGGGATTTAAGGTCTAATCAATCACTGTTTTTGAAGAAGCCACAACTCTAGCTAAGATGCTATTCAATAGTTACAAGAAAGGAAGCTTGACCAAGCACGATGAAGAATTATTTTTCAATTATTTGCTCTTCGCTTGTCAATTAAGCCAACACAGTCTCAAATTTACTCATCATAATGTACAACTTCAAGCTACAGCTATTGTGATGGTTTCACTAAAGTATTTGAGAAAGTTTCTTAAAGCTAAGATAGAAGCTAGAAGCTAAAAAGTGCAAAGGTCTCCATCAGACAACAAAAGCTAGATAAATCTTAACCTGATAAAGGGGATCTCTAATTACTTTAAGATTCAACATATATTAGAAAGTGAAAATGAATAGGAGACTAAGTCTCTCATTTAATCAATAGTAAACTATCTTCCGACGTATCAAACTCTTGGATTAAAAAATCTCGAGAAAAGCTATCCATAATACCTTGATGAGGTCGCCCTCAGAATAATGACTACCCCTTCAGTATAAATATGAATAAGTCTGTGGATTATACCATGATCTGCCTTGACTGAAATATAAATTGTGTGAAATGTATGATGCTAATAACTATCGATTTAAATTCTTTAATCAACATTTATTAGAATAAATCCTTTTATAATTTATCTAAAATAATCATATCATTTTTTAGCTATAAATACGGATTAAGCGGGGTTTTGGGGTTTTGGGG